TAGAGTCTCTTGGTCATACTGGCTTAGAGGTCTCAAGTTCGAACTTTCTGGTGAGCTTAATACTAAAAACCCTTGATGTCTCTCGGGTCTGGGCCTTGGGGTGGGCATGGGTGTCCCTGGGTACAGGGGAGCAAAGCTCTAACTCCCAATTACATATATGTATATATATATATATATAAATATATATATATATTACGCAAAATGGTGGATAGACCTGCTTGCCATGGTAATTCGTCTTTTATCTGTAAAGGGAGGATTTCAAATAACTGCCAACGCTGGTGGACAACTTGAACATGGAATATGCCAGTAAGCAAACAGCGAGTCCATGGATTATTTGAACCCGAGTATTTGGGAAAAATCAGACTATTTGATGGAAGAATGGGAAATCCTTTTGAACAACCCACCCCTTGGCAACACAAAGGGCAAAGCCGTAAAAGGTTATTTAACCACTATCAACATGTATAACACCTTGCCCTAAGCATCAGGTCTAGTTGCTAACAAAGTTGAAAACCATTTTTGCAATCGGTAATCCAGGTCTTTGAATAAGCATAGTCTAAAAGTTCATAAGCTCAAAACAATTTCTGGCCTTCAACTGAAAAGAACTTGAGAACCAACAGGTAGCAGCATTATGTAATTGGAAGTTCAGACAATGGCTTTCTAAGTATCCCCCGGTCTTCCTCGTGGTGGCAACCTGAAGTCCTCGAGCTTCTGGAACCTCTTATTAGTAAGCTGAAAATGGAACTACAAAGATTGAACCTCTTATTGATAAATTGCAAGTGGAACTCCAAAGATGGATAAAGGTCCCTCTTCTAGGAGGTTAGTTGATTCCTCTTTCAAAAGGAGGCAAGTTCATAAAACAGTGTATATTCATGAGATACCATGCCATCAATCCTCATTCGTCCTATATCTACTAATCTTATGCCAATTTTTGATCGCCAGCCACCTCCATTTATTGATTATTTTTTGTCATCACCATCTTCTGTCACTAAAATGAGCGAAGGGGCTTGTAACTCAACACTCCCTCTCAAGCTTGATGTATGTTTTTTTAATTTTAGCCAAGTTTGGACTTCAGTCCTTAATGTTTGGATTGGGTAGAGTTTCCATCATTTAAAGACTTAAAAGTAAGTAGAAAAGGGAGGTGATCTCTTTGTTGATTTTCTCGGAGTCTTTATCAATCTTGACATGTTTTGTGCAGTCATGATGTACAAAATTCTTGACAGTTGATGGTAGCTTGGTTGTCATGCATCATCTTCATAAGACTTCTTATAGAAACGCTTTGTTCCATTGGAACTCTTTCGAACCACATCCCTTCTTGAGTTATTGATTTAAAGTCATCTTTGACATTGCTTCAAAAGACAATAGATTGTTTCTTGATTCGCAAATCTTAAGGTGCAGCTAAGAATGGAGCAATTAAAACCTGTCCCTGTTTAACATTGCAGCAAGTGGATGGAAGAAAATCTCTTTGGAGAGCTAGTTCTCTTTCCTAATTTGTAGATAATTTTGGCTTGAGATGAATACGGGGGCTCTAGTGAATGTTATTGAGTGGGAGGTGGTTTATGGTTTAGACCATGTCAACAAACCTCTTTAGATTTCTTACTACAAATTGATACCATTATTATTCGTTTTACTGAGTAATTTGAGTCTACTTGCTAGTTTGCGCGTGGCTTTTATCTTTTTTTCTTTTGCCCCCTCATAATTCTTTAAGAAATTCTTGTTTCTTATTTATAAAATTAGCTACTCTGCCAGACATATGGTTACTGACATTCATATGGTAAATTTCTAGATACAGAACAAAATTTATGATCTATGAATTATGAGGTCATTTTGAAAAATTTAGATTGGTCGATCAAATAAATAGATATCTCAAGTAGCTTCAGAATAAATTCATGAATATTGAGAATATACTTAGTTCCCACCCTGATTTGCATATCCTACATGCCACTTAATATAACCACAATCCATGTTGCTGGGGTAAAACTTGCTAAATGTATTGAAGATACAAATCGAATCACTTATAGTTCTGATGTACATGTTTTTCTTCCAGCCTCTGAAACATCATGTACTTGGTTCTACCTACGAAGGGAAGCAAAGCTTGACCGTCTCATACGAGGGAGATTCTTCACAACTTGGAGACTTTTCTCATCTTGAAGATTTTATTCCCCCACCGCCCTCAATAGGTAACTACCATTTTTTTCAAGAATGATAACTGACGTTCCTGCTCTTCCCCTCCATATCTTTCATTTTTTTGTCAAGAGACATAATGTTATTACTGTTTTGACAAGAGGAGAGGAAGGGTTGGAATTTTAATTAGTCTTGAAAAATGTTATTCATTGCAATACTTGAATGATGAAAAAGTACTCATTCATCCTTTGGATTTGTGACATTGTTTCTGCTTTGAATGACCATGCTCAGAGTCATTTTTAAATTTTCTGATGCAGAGTTTAGCGATAGTTCTGATATCGACATGTTTGATATCTTGAAGAACATGAAAAGTTTGTACGAGTATAATGTAATTCTTAGAGAAAAGCTATTGTCCACTCAATCTGAGGTTCGTGCTATAGCAACCAACTCCACGCCAAAAACCGAGCATAAAACATAGAGTGTCTGTATATTGAAGCAAACAGTTTACTTCTGATACTGCACTTCAGTAACCTCCATCAAGGTTCTCGCAAGGATGTGGGGATTTTTCTTTCAACATCTCCTCGTGAACTTTGCAACCAGGTCTTCTGAAAGTCGAATCATAAACAATGTCTCGTGAGATTGGTCCACTTGTGCCAAGGAACGGCGAGAAATGGCTCCGAAACAACAATCGTATTTTCTTGTGATAGTTTTTCTTCATCCATCTCGCCGTTTTCCTGTTAGGTTTGCTAGTAGATGATTCCTAATATGTACAATTACCACAATCACTTTATGCTGTAGCATCTTTGTTTACGTTGTTCGTTCTTTGCTGGCGCTCGGATGGCAGAGCGAGATCATGCCTATGTACTTAACTCTGTTGTAATGATATTAACATTTGTTTGTACAATGAGTAGAACATGTGCTACTGCTGGTGAAAGGAAACGTATCTTTGTGTCTGGTGTTGTAATCTGCTTAAGATTACACCTTGCATTATTAGTGTATGAACTAAAGGACTTCAATTGCTTACTGCTAGAATTTCACTACAATAACTAACATGGGTCGTTTAAATTTTAGGGTTTTTTTTTTTCCCATTAAAAGAGATTATGCAAAAAGAATGAAATGTTTTCACATCCAATTGATGTGTGAAAAACATCACTACTTGATTCCTCAAAATATTAGGGTCTCATTTGATTTCGTTTTTAGTTTTTAGTTTTTTAAAATTATGCTTATTTACTTACGATTTCTTTAGTATATTTTAACTTTTTAAAGAAAAAATTTGAACCATTGCCAAATTTAAAAAATAAAAGCAAGTTTTTAAAGTTTTTAAAATTATTTTTGTAGTTTTTAAATTTTAGCTTAGATTTTGAAAATACTTTTAAAAGTAGATGGAAAAAAAGAAATACACCGTAGAAAATAGTATCTTAATTTATTTGCGTTAATTCCAAGTTTTATCAAAGGAAGGTTGTGGCACGAGTATGCCTTACAATTATTTTTAATCTGATATTTTGAACCCATTTTTAGTTTAAGAACTCCATTAATGAAATTTACCAAAATAAAAGGTTCAGATAACTAGTGTATAGTTTTGGATAACTTTTCTTTATTATTTTCCCAACTTATTTGAAAAAGAAATCACTTGTGATCATATTTCCTTTTTATTCTCTTCTTACCTTTATTAACTTAAAACTACTACATTTTCAAATTAATTTGTACTTTACTAATTGGATATGAAAAAATTAATTCAAAGCATTCGTTTTTTGTTGCTCATATTTAAAAATAAAGCGCATCTAATAATTACATTCCTTTATATATTTTAGAGGTATTGAAATCAGCCCATTCTAAAAACTATTTTAACTTCTAGAACTAAGACTGATTTTATTAGTATCTTCTTGCAACCAAAAATACCAAAAATAACGAAAAAATATAGAACGCTCTTTTGTACCTAACGTTTGAAAAATAACATAACCGTAAGAATGATGGTATTTCTCCGTATAATTTTTGCTTCAAGTTTATTTTAATTTTATCCTTCTAATTTTCCATGTTAACATTTAAGCATTCTATTAGATCAACTAACAATGAATTCAACGATCTATTAGATTGTAGAACTATTTTTCAAATTTTAAAGACTAAATTATCCATTTTAAAACTTCAAAAATCAAATAAACACCGACATAAACCTAAGAACCAAAATTGTCCACATATATATTTAACAACTAAAGTAGGGAGCAAATAATAATCATTCTCCCCATAAAAAATTCTCAAACTTTTTGCGGTCCAAAATTCCCAAAACAAAATAAAGACTCTTGAAATCCATGTATACTCTGGCCATAATTCTAATGGAAGTTATTGCCAATACTTCTAGTATGAAGTCATGATACTAGAGGGAATGATATAGCTTCAATTCAACCAGTAGACCATCATATAAAACATAGTGAATTGCTCGATAATATCAGTCAAGTAAACAACGACCCACGGCATGCTCTATTTTATGCTTCAACTGATAATAGATAAAGGATACAAAAACAACACAGATTTAAGTTAGAAACCTTTACTTCAACCTACAAACAACTCAGTTGTGTGCAGCTCAGAAGTGAACGGAACCAATCCCAACTTATTGTACTAGAATCTTTTCTAGAGACTTAGCTCGAACCGCGCAAGTCAATCTTCTCCTACAACGCAGCTTTATCGACGTGTCGAATACCAAGGAGTTCTAGGAAGACACAAGCTAGAGAGCATAACGTTAAATTCTCATATTAACCAACTGTGTATCTCTTGGCAACATAGACTAGCAGCCATAAGCCTCATATCTGCCCTGCGCCAACGACAACCATAGTTTTCATACATCAACTTTGGCGATGCACGACAGACAAATTTATCATCACAAACACATTCCTATCGATCTTTTGTTGGCATGAGTAATCCTGGCAACTCAAAGAACTGTGGTTAGGACAATAGGCCATGCCAGAAAACAAGAGCTACTGCAATAGTACTTCCCAATCCTTATTCCATATTAATCTGCTTCCACTCAATGAGTTTGAAATGATTCGTTCTTTCGACAGTGCTTGCCCAAAGCCTGAGAAAACATCCTCTTTGCAGCTCCTAAATGCTCCCTCTTCAAGTAGTCATTGTCGATACAACTTGCCTTCGGAGAAATCTTGTCAGCATTTCTTTCCCTTGCCGACGACACAATCGGATTACAATTCTTATCCCCTCTGTTCTTTAAGTTCACACGTTGATCTGACCGTGAAATGGTTTTCTTAACAGCTTTCACAGTAGACTCAGGCTCCTTTGAATCATTTGATTGGATGTGTGCATTATTATCAACTGCACCTCCTTGCTCTTTGCAATGGTAAGTTGTATCCTCAGAAAACGAATTTATTCTCTGGCCCAGTGCATGTGCAATCATGCGGCGTGCAACCACTGGATCACAGCGTGGCTTTGGCTTCACAGGTTCGCTATCTTCTCCTGTGTGCATCATGAAAATTCGCTTGCGAACAGCCAGATAGGCTGTTTGTCTCTCTTCAAGTGAAGGTTGACAAGGTGCTTTTGTCACACTCACTGAAATAAAACATCAAATATAGGCAATTTGATTTCTTACAATCTCTTAAAAGTAAATCTGCAAGTACCATGAATAGGTAATCAGCATATTTATGGAAACTTCTAATATGATGAACCAGCATTAAATGGACTTCCTCATACACGTGCAAAATGGAACAACATTCTTCTTTCAAAAGAGAGATATTTACATGCTCATTCTATTATAGTTCCTTCCCTCCTCAAACTTCAATCTTCAAATCCAGAATCCCTATCAAATCTTATCAAGAAGACCTCTTATTCTACCCTACAGCTACGTTTCTCCATAGTGCTCTATTCCCCCTTTGATGTCTTTAGAAATGGAAATGAAAAGAGTAAGAGCCCATTAGGGCGCTTTCACAAATTAATATTTATTAAACATTCATACTATCCCCTCTACTACATTCAAGTGGCCTCAAGTCCATTAGAAATACATATGTGAACATTCCTACGATCAAATTGTAACCGAAGGCACAAATTGGAAAGTATTGCAGGTACTAATTAACCCCTTTTTTGTTTAGCTAGTTTTGGGTTGGGCGTCCCTCTAGTTGAACTTTTTTTTTATGCCCTCTTGTATTCTTCCGTTTGTTTCTTCCAGATGAAAGCAGATTTTCTTATTCCAAAGAAAAAAAATACTGTAATTCTAATGACATATCACGATCACCAATATTAAATGGATATTAGTTACTCACATAGTGTACAGTACTTTAATGAAATAATTGGAAAGTGTACCAGGAGAGTTTTCCTTTCTCTTCAATAGTTGGTGTGGTATTGTTGACATTTGAGGCTCATCAAACTCCCACAGAATATCACTCACAAGAATGGACGGTCTGCAATAAACATAAATAAGCTAATCAACAAATGACCTTTATTAGTATCACAATGTCCTGCCATGACGTTACGGTTCCGTAGTTTGTAAATTTAAGAAGCCTTGTTTGACTTTAAGTTATATGATTTGGCTTCTTCCCCTTCTTTGAAAAGATGAAATAAAGATTGGATCACACGACAGCTAAGAAATACTTGAAGTAATACTTGAAGTTTGAACAATGATGAATAAATAGATGACAGTGTTTATTGTCATAAATAAAACTTAATGGATAAGAATTACAAGAACTCCATCTATCCATATAGCTAATGTTGTGTGCCCATCCAACATTTCTCGCTCCAAGCGGACATACAGAAGTTTACTTTTCTAATTAGCCATATGGAGGAAACCCAGTAGCATTTGGAATGAGAGCAGCGGTCGAGAGCTCGATACAATAGCAAGGGAGAGGGTGGTACTGGTACATCAACCCTACTTGGGTTCAAGGATAGCCTCCAGAAGTCTACTTTTCTAATTAGCCATATGGAGGAAACCCAGTAGCATTTGAAATGAGAGCAGCGGTCAAGAGCTCGATACAATAGCAAGGGAGAGAGGGTGGTACATCAACCATACTTGGGTTCAAGGATAGCCAGGGAAAAGCTTGGATTTTGTTCACTCCTATATAGACTAAACTCAAAACAAAGATGGGTCCCTAGTGGAGCCGATCAAAGGAACAAAGGACGCGTTGCTTTGAATCATAATTTAGAAACTGTAAATAACAACAGAACATAAAAGCCCAACTCCAAACCAAAGTAAAACCTTTTTCTATGGAGAAGACGTTCATAGAAAAAAATGAGGCTTCTGTTTATTCAATTATCACAATGTGTCCTTTTATACTTTCCTTAAAATGAGAAGGAAACAATGAAGGACGCAAGAATTGTTAAAATTCCTTGCTTCAATATCATATTAGTACACTGCAATGATTTTATTCCAGTGAAACAGCTTCAATATACATCAACAGGTCTTGTTACGAACTCCTTGAATATCGGGGATTTAATGTTTTAACTAATACACGTCCCTCTATCGCTAAACTAGCAGTTCACCATAAAATGCTTTACCAACAACATTTTACAATATGAAAATATTAAGCTATAATTAAAAAAAAGACAGGTTTGGAATTCCTCACATACATTGATGACTCTGGGCACCGCTCCAGAACCAAGTGTCTATCAACACCTTCACCAACTGATACATGGGCAAATCTGAGAGAGGAGTGGGAAAGAATATTATTGAGTACGAACTTAGGAAGTTCAGAATGAAGTTCGACATAGAAAATTAAGAATTCAGGCCTCACAAAGAACTAGAACAAATAACAAACAAATAATATAAACTGCGGAAAAAAAGAAGTACCCAAAAATATCAGCAAGGCGATGTAATAGAAGACGGTTGTATGAATCCATTGGTTCCAACTCCAAGATTCCATCTAAACTGCTATCAAAAATATTATTTGAAGTTAGGGATCACCATACAAGTAACAGGTTAAAGAACAATGAAATGTAAATTTGCAAGAGATTCTCCCACAGGAAAGAACAATAATGTGAAAATTGAAAACAACTACACCAAACATTGGAAAAAAAGATAGCACAGTAGGGATGAATGACCTTCTTTCTGTTCCCATATGTTCTTATACAAATTCATTGGAAGGGCAGCCCATTTTCCCAAGACGTAACTTGAAACTTTTCATAATTTCTGCATTTCCTTGGTATCTTCCAAATAAGGTTTTGAACTGTTTTTAACAATTGCTTCTTATTCATGTAACTAATCTCACCAGATGACAACTTAACCCTACAACTTTTGACTTTAAAAAACTCATATGATATTTTAGCATTCTAAACAGATTGCTACCATGATTTGAACCCATAACCTTTCGCTTATCTTATCTCTTAGACCATTGGGTTTAGAATATCATTAAAATCAATAACTAACATCATTTAACCATCATCATATTACCTGGTTTCATCCTGAAGAAAGTTGACAAAGGTTTCTTCCATGGATAGAATAAGATGCTTGCTAGGGAGGTTGTCCTTAACAAGAAAGGCCAACTCCTCCACCTGAGGAGTCAGATGTCATCAATAAGGAGAAAGAAAAATAAAATGTTAATAAAAAAGAGTACAACATAGGATTATGTAACTGCAAGTACTAGCAACTAAGGATCCACCTCTTTATATTAAAAAGCATTATTATTCATATTTCAGTAAACAACTTCACAGAAACATTAAAGGATCTACCTTTTCAGCTTTTCCAATCAAAAAGGAAAATATCTACTTGTGAAGATCAGAGAAGGCGATCAGAGGGGCAGAATTGAAGATATAAAAAGTTACAGAAAATGTAAGATCCAATGTTGATTTTAATGACATTTTCTTTCAGACATTATCTTATAAGTTATACAACTTTCCCAGAACTTCCAGTATATCATGCTACAAATATAACCTTTCTGTTTGAACAGAAGTACTAACCAAGGGCAATACAGAAAGATCAAGCCAAAAAAAGGAGCCAAAAACTACTGCATCACATTTTCCTTAAACCCTTTGTACTATTTACTTCCATTTGGCGAATAACACTTAGTCATCCGTGTTTCAAAGAGTAAATTCCACATATGAAAAAGAAAACTTAAAAATGATCAAGCAGCCAGCAGGAGGAAAAATCTCAAATCACTGAACCCTCAAATTACAAACTCAAGTAAATATAAAAAGCAGTCCCACAGCGAAAAAAAAAAAACGATTAAAACTGAAAATCCGCACCACCCAAATAAACTAATCCAGAACCTACCAAGTACATCACTCTCAATTCATCAAAATTAAAAAAATTGATTGAGCCCATTAAAACAACGCGCACAAACAGATAAATTATGCAACTTTTTACGAAATCAGAAGATGGCGGTTAAGAGAAATAATTAGAAGAAGAAGAAGAAAGATGGAGGAGAAGTTACCATGGCGAATTGGGTCATGGTGATTCCGAAGTATGAAGAATCGAGGAATTTGAAGGTGGGCGTTCGATTTTGGAAGAAAGAAATCCAATCCTAAAGTAACTATGGGATTCTTACGACACTGCCGTCTGACGATTGTCTCGAATCTCCATTTATTTTCCATTTTCCATTTTTATTTTATTTTAAAAGACTTTGTTTTTCATGGAACAATAAATGGTTTAAATCCTATTTTAATTTCTGAATTTTATTTTTTTAGTGTAAAATCTTAATTTTGATCCTTAAAAATTGGAAATTTTTATTTTTCTACCCTAAATTTGAATTATTGTTCATGATTTGAACAAAGATTTTATGATATGAAAACATACGTTATTGCAAATACCATACTTAAAATTGATAAAATTGACATGAAAGTACAAATATTAAAATTTATGTAAGAAAAAAGAAAAAAGGAAAAAAAGAACTTAATTAGGTTTCACTCCGCCAGTCCCAATTTCATCTCACATATTAGTTTAGATATCCCAAATATGTACTTTCCTATACTCGCAGTTTATTTTGTTAACCATACTTTTACAAATGATTATTTTTTTCTTTATATGTTATCATTTCTCTCTCATATATTAATATCGGTGTGAATCAAACTCACAATTTCGAAGATTTATCGTTGAACTATGTTAACTTTTTTTAATTATTTTACAAATTTACCCTTTCCTTTTTATTTATATTACTAATAATGTTAAATGTAACTTTTCTCAGTTAATCTAATTTTATTATAAAATATTATAAATTTCTAAAAATTTTACTTTATTATAATTAACTAATATCAATAAAATTTCTAAAATAGAATTCATTGCTATTAAGTATTATAATAAAAAATATTCACTATCAGTAATAAAATAAATTAAAATGTATTATTATTTTAATTAAAAATAATGTTAGCACAATTTTTTAGTTAATGTATTTGTAGTTAGCTAAAACAAAAAAATGGGATATACCAATTATTGTTATATATCTAATTCTTATTCCGATTCCAAATAGTTGTAATAAATAACATTACGAGGTTTTTACTCCAATTCCAAAAAAAATTATAATAAAGAAAAATAAATAAATAACACTCCCATAACTATTGATTTTCGTTCCGGTTTCTTATGAGTAAAGAAAGCCTAAATTTGTAAAAAGAATGTCAAATAAGTTGATGCAATCCTAAAAATTCAAAAACCTATTAAAAACCGACTTATTAGATATAGCATAGAAATTTATTGGACATTTTAAAATTCATAAACTTGTTAAACATGAGGGGCTTGAGAGATAGGTAGCGCCCAACAGGTCTCGACTCGAGTTGAAAAAGAAGGCTAAACCCAAGATTGAACCTATTAAAAACCGACTAATTAGATATAGCATAGAAATTTATTGGACATTTTAAAATTCATAAACTTGTTAAACGTGAGGGGCTTGAGAGATAGGTAGGGCCCAACAGGTCTCGACTCGAGTTGAAAAAGAAGGCTAAGCCCAAGAGAGGAGGACTTTCAGGAACTAGGGAATACGGGTGGATTATAGAGCTAGGGGCAAATCGAGTCCATCATAATTGGACATGGACGAGCCCCTCAGGGAGGAAAGAAGAAGTCCCATCGTTTCTCCAGCACCGTTCTCGCCTCAATGAATGGTGACTCAGTAACTAATCTCACCTAAATAAAATGACCAAATTTTATTCATGAAAATTAAAAAACAGTCAATGAAAGCACTCTTCAACATTTTCACAATGTTTAGCTAGATAATAAAAAAGGATTTTGATTTTTTTCATGTGATTGTGAATAGAAACACATTTCATTGATAAGTGAAATTGCTTTTGCAAATTTTAGAAACACTAAAACTTTACAAGTGCTGTTAGAAGAAACACCAACAATCACTTAATTAGTCATTCTTCCAAGTGATCAGTCATTTCCCAAAAGTGCAGGTAGAAAAAATGCTTTCACTCAAAAACACTTTTTTCAAGAAGTGCTAAATGTAGTTGTTTCATTTCCTTCAAGCTTTGAGTAACATAAATATCATATTGATGTACACCTTTCCATCACCTAAAAATAAAAATAAAAACCAAATCAAGAAGCATTACCAAACCTCAACCAAACAATGGGCTTCAAGAACACATAGCCTTCTCCAACACTTCTTGCAATTCTCCACTTTTGTATGCTTCTGTAGATATGGAAACTTTATAAATTTAGTTAATGAATTTTGAGCATCATATCTATTAGATCTTAAATTATATATATAACAAAAAGAGCTTAAGATTTAAATAATATTTTGGTCATTGTACCTTTAAAAATGTACATATTAGTCCTTATCCTTTCAATTTTAATCAATATACTTTTAAAAAGAGACAATTTTAGTTCATTTCTTTTTTACCACAATTTCAACGTAATGCTATAGTACAGAGACCAAAACTATCCTAACTTTGCATTATTTCTATTGTATATAGAAATTTATGTTGAAATTTTACATGCAGGAACCAAAATGATCCATTTTTAAAATTATAGGTACCAAAATGGATTTTTTGAAAAGTACATGCACTAAAATGAAAAAAATAAAAATGTGTAGGATCAAAATGGACATTTTAAAAGTACACGAACCAAAATAGAATTTAAAACAAAATTTAATTACGTTCCTAAACTTTAAATCATACTTTTTAAATCTACCAGCAAATATCTCCCCTTTTTACGGAAAAGATTGCAGAAACTTACCAACAGTTATGTCACAACCACCAAAGAACTCTCCATCAATATAAAGCTGAGGAAAGGTTGGCCAGCTTGAATACTCCTTCAGTCCTTGCCTTAGTACTTCATTCTCCAGAATGTTTATGGTCTCAAAGGTCACATTTAATGACTTCAATATTTGAACTACGGTGTTGGAGAATCCACATTGTGGGAAGTCTTTTGATCCCTTCATAAAGAGAACTACTTTCTCTGACGTAACGACTTTGTCAATTGTCGTTTTCAGCTCGGGAGACAATGCTGCCAAAAATTAAATAAATAAATAAAATTGGTAACAACCCACAACCTCAGATATTTTCATGTTTTTAAAGATGAAATTGCATTCCAACATCTAATTTGATATCTTCATGAAATTTGTAAGAATCAAGGCAGATGGCAACTCAAAGTAAGTTGAATGTGGCGATCTAAGCATCCTAGAGGACTTGGATGTTTGGAGCTACCTTCCCACGTCCAAGCTCGTAGGTGGAAAACTTAATAACTTGAAGACCCTTGCTGTCTCCCGAAAATAGCATTAAGGCGAACAAAACCTACTTGAGAATTAATGGAGAAGGCCATGAGTATATGCAAGGAGTGGGGAATATGGCAGAGTATTAATAAGGAAATATTAGGAGTGTCATTGGAATATTCATAGTGGCATAATTGTAATTACTTGGAAGTTGTCAGGGTGAGGGAATTTGGGATGGGTGGAATTTTGAAGAGTAATTTTGGGCAAGTCCAAGCCTCTCGAAGTACATGGTTATTGTAATCTTCCTTTCCTATTTCAATACTATTTCAATTAACTTCTATTACAGTGTCTGCTCTTATAAGAATATCTCTAATATCTCTAAAACAGTACTTATGGAAGTGTTTCTCAGACTACACCAAAATCCAGAAGTAATATACAGCAGAGTTGTGGCTACATCAGAAAGCAGTATCCAACCATACACATACATGAAGAAGAATATTTCTAAAATCTCTTGCAAGAGAAGTCCAACGAGTGGTCATTCTCATTCCTAAATTCTGAAGTCAGAAATTTGTATTCCGAAGGGACGATTGGGGATCAAATCTACAGCAGCAAAGATCATTTGCCACAACAATGGGCAGAATTCATGTTCGCAATCCCAAGTGACATCTCTTTTTTTTCTTCTCATTAAGATAAATGAAAGAATTACAAGAGGGCATTTACTTCACGCTAAGTATTAAGTCATAAGACAACTAATTAAAACTTAATTATTCTTTTTTCTCACGACCTTTTAGTTGGAGGATGTATGCTTTAATTAATTGAGTTATGCTCAAGTTGACAAAACTTTATTATTCTTGATGAGGTTGAAATATGGAGAAACCAAAATGACATTATGAAAAGAAAGACACAAGAGTTTTTGAAGAATCTTGTCCTATCGAGAATTTTCTTTTGGAACAGTGTATAGGTGTTGTTCAAACTACCAAAAATTCTTTTGTAATTACAGTCTCCTGATCATTTCGTATGAGCGAAAGACTTCAATAATCCCAACCAAACCTACCCCCACACAGAGAAACCTTTTTCTTCTTCTTTTTTTTTTTTTTTTTGATAAGAAACAAACAATTCATTGATATTCCAATAATCCTCCAACCTTACTCCCTAGAACTCTCCACCCTCTAAAGATTCTATTATTTATCTCAATCCAAAGCCTCACAAAATAGCCAAGAAAAGAAATCTTCATTCTTCCCTTATCCCGAAAAGGGGAGACAACAGAATCTCCTCCATCAGAGCCTCACGGTCCCTATTATGAACCCACGACACCCCAAGAACCCAAAGAACCTCCTCCCCCACTATTTACGGTTGTACACTATAGAAAACCAAGCCAACCGAGAGGTTCCGCTCTATTGCCTTTCCTTTCCAAGGCTCCTTTTGCTATTATCAGCACAACCTAAGTCAAGGCAACTTGGAAAAGAAGGTTTTCTTCCAACAGACAAGATATCAAGTGTTGAATGCCACCAAAAACTCTCCGCAAAGAAACGATCTCCATGCTTCAGTGCTAGTAGAAACCCTCAAAACACAATTCAAGATGCCAAGAACCTAAGGAACGAGAACAGCATTTGTTTTTGGTAATCAAAACCCTAAACCCATTAAACTTCCCCCCTTAATCTCCGGCAATTAAATAAACTTTATCGATAACACCGATTCAAACCAACCCAATCACAACAGCAGACATAGTTTTCACAAATTCATCACAAGCCTCCATCAGATAACAGCAATCAATTAAAAAAAAAACGGAGGCAAAACAAGAAATTACCAGAGAAGCAGCGGAGGGAGCCAAATTTCCGTCCAGATCTCGATATTTGCCCGATTGACACGGCATCGCGACGTTGAAAATTCCGGTTAAGGATGGCGTGGCGTTGTAGAGACGAAATGGGAAAGGGAAGAAGACGAAGAGAAGGGGTTGTTTTGCTGAAGGAAGAGGAGGACGAAGGAAATGGAGGTGCGGCTAGTTGAAATGCTCCAACAGACGACATTTTCTTCCTTCTTCTTCAGCGGTGGTTCGAAGTTCGAACTCCAGAGGATTTAGTAGAAACAGAGAGCCACAGAGTTTGCTGAAAGTTTTAGTCAAAAAATCCTTTCTTTTTAATCAATTAAAAAAAAACTTTTTAATCAGTAGTTAGATACATTAAACAGTAAATAAATAAAAAAAGAGTTGTTGTAGAACTAATTAATAAATTATATAAAACTCAAACAATAATATTCTCAAAATTAAGGTCCAATATTCTCTAAACTGCATAAAAATATTCCTACAAATTCAAGTAGGTTAATTAGCATGCTGAAAAATATTAATTATATATTTAGTTAAATTAAAGACATGCTATCTTAATTTTAAAAAGCATCTCATAGGTCATTTGTTTGAATTATTTTGATAACTATTTTATTTATTTATCTTTATTGAAAAGAGAAGCAAAAACATGTTTCTTTGTATACTAAAATTTTAAATTTAAAAAGTAAAAATTTTATATGAAAATTAATTTTTCGAATTAGATATTCAAAATTTTTATGTTATGTTTATGAAATACTGCTTTTATCTATTGTTTAAAAAATTTCTTAAAAATAGAAAACCACAATTACCAAGTGCTTATGTTTCTCAAAAATTAAAAATGAGAAGCAAGAAAGAAAAAAAAAAAAAAGAGAATGATATTAAACTATATCACCAAAACTAAAAATTTGATTATGTTACTCTATATTTAGTTATTTTAACATATTCTTAACATTCTTCATTCACAGGCTCGAAAACTAAAATGTCATCCAACAAGAGAACTACAAACACAACCTCCTATTCTATTACCATATTAATAATATACCACTAAATTCAAAAACTTGAACTAAGAAGTTTGTGTTTTTTCAATCATTTTAATATATTCTCAAGAGATTAATAAAAAAAAAAGAATAAATTATATACACCAGTTAAATATTCAAATCTGACAGGCCAATGGAATCAACGGTTGCATTTTCAGGCACCACATCGCTACAAAACTCACAAGAAACACCAGAGGGAGTTAAATGGAGGGAGTGATGGATTCTTGCTTCTAACCAAGACAGTCTTTTCTCAAGACTCAGCACTCCAATGTGCATAATCCTAATATCAATTTGTGCAGCTCTAGCACAAGCTCGAAGCAGTATGTAGTAATCGGCATGAGCTGCGTAAGTCAATGCACCTCCATCGATCTTCCTCGAGTAGTGAAGGTAACCGAATCTCTTCGGGTTGACCCTTGGTGGAATATAGCAGAACCTTTTCTCTTCCATGTCGAGTTTTAGCCTTTTGACTGATGCGTCTATGGAAGTTTGTGCTGGAGCTTTGTCTTTGGAGGATAGTTCTTCCTCATCACCACCTTCTGAACTTTTGGACGAATGGCTTTGCTGAGAATTATTTGAGTTGGAAGTTTTGTTATCGGATGATTCTCTGCTAATACCTTCTTCGCCTCTCGGTTTCTTGCTTTCATTGGATAATCGGTCAGCGGAACCTTCCCTCAATCTCTTTTGGTTGGAAGCAGCATTTTGATCTACATCTTCTGTTTGTTCCGAGTCCTCCTGTAACAATTATTTGGTTGTAGTTATGGCTTATGCTTGCGTTATGATATGTTACCTTCCAAATAAGCATTGACTTATTCATAAACAAATTTGGTATGGTAAAAATCATCGTACAGTTACAGAATCCCTGTTGCATAACAACAAAAGCAAATAATATTGAAAAGTATAACTATTGGCTCCCAGTCRATTTCCCTTTCTTTTTTTCCGATATCTATGAGCATCTCGACTAATTTTATGGGACAACCACTTAATCCTACAATAGTCGGTTCTCAAAAAACTCATAGGATTTTAATATCTCAAATAGCCACTATGGGAATTTCTCATAAAATATATATATATATATAAATAGCCACTATGGGAATTTGACCTCAATCCACTATATTCGATTGTCCCTTTATTATTTTGACCAAATCCAATGTAGTAGGGACAACCGTGGTTGTCCAATGGAGTAGGTGTGCAAGCTTTTTTCAACTGAGTCAATTCTCTCACTATTAGTCATTGCTTTCCAATCTCATTGATGCACGTAAGTATGATGATATTGAGTTGGTTATTCCTCTCTTTTTTTTCAAAAGTAACTAATTTTCATTTCTTTTCCCGATATCTATGCGCACCTTAACTAATTTCATAGGACAACCATTCAACCCTATAATAGTCAATTGTTTCTAAAAAAACTCATAGGATTTTAATATCTTTGGTAGCCACTATAGGATCTAACCTCAACCCACTATATTTGGTTGTCCTTTAAACCTGATCTAATATAGTAGAGTCAAGCGGTTATCTCGTGAGAATAATCGAGGCGTGCAAGTTGCCACAACACTCATAGATATTTATATATATTAAAAAAAAACTCTATATTGATCAGCAACCTCTGACTCATTCCAACGAAGAACATTCAGGAAAAAATAGCAATGATGTCATAACCATAATGAAGACAATGATAAGCATATCCCGCAGTGTTATAATCTAAATGCCAAAGCATGATACAAACACTTGCTTTAAGCAAAAAGGAGATGTCGATAAATATGCTTCATTAAAAACTTTGACCTGTTCCAATTAAAGAACTTCCTAAATTTCATACATGACAACAGGTGAAAGTTATAAACATTAGTTGAGCTGGCAACAAATACTGGTAGAATGTGGAAGAGCCAGATCATGTGATATGTGAAAAGAATTTAATCGTTATGGTATAATCCAGCCCAGAAGTATGATATGCACAAATATTTTTAACAAACTGACGAGTAGGGACTTCAATACAAAAAATTTGACATCAAACATTAAGAACCAAAATGATTGTGCAAGTGTTAGGGACCAAAGATATATTCAGCTAATTGTAGCTCGAACGTCTAAACTCCTTAAAGAAAAAAAAAGACAACAGATTTTCTTTCAGCATGGGAATGAATTTATTTATTATTATTATTATTATTTATAAGAAACCACGCTTTCATTGAGAAAAATGAAAAGAGATATAAAAATACAAGAAGGGCACACAAAAAGATAGCCCCGAAAAAGGGAGCACCCTAAAGAAAAGGACTCCAATCCAAAAGAATGCTGCCTAACTAATAATTACAAAAGGCCTTGGCGACCGATCCTCATAAAGAAGTATTAAACCTAATGAGATCCCAAATATAGTCTACAAATTTCTCCACCCCCTAAACAGTCTATTGTTCCTCTCCAGCCAAATACCTCATAAAGTAGCCAGAAAAGAAGCCTACCACAGAAAACAACCCCTGTCACGAAAAGGGAGGATAACAACACTTCCTCCATCATCGCCCTACACTCTCTAGAATAGACCCAGACTATTCCAAAACACCTAAAGAACCAAAGCCATAAATCCTACACAAACTGACAAGTCCACAACAAATGATCGAGATTTTCCAAGGCATCCTACAGAAAACACACAACTGCGGGTCCAGACAAAAGGAAGACATCCTCTGAATACGATCCATGGTATTGAAAAACATCGATTCAATGGGTTTCTCTTTTTGTTGTTCTGTGGAGTTTGTGGTATAAGAGCAACAACAAGATTTTTAGAGGGATGGAGAGATCTAGGGAGGAAAAGTGTTTTGTAATTACTCCTTAGGTTTGATCTTGCTTGGAGTATGTTCTTTTAGTTTGGCTCTTTTTGTTGAGCTGTTTTTTTGTATGCCCATTGTTTCTATCATTTTTCTCAAAATAAAAATAAAAAATAATGTTTTTAATGAAGCTCAGTTTGCAGGATTGGAGGCTCAGTTTTTCAGTAAAAAAAGCTCATAAAAAGCCAGTTTTTCAGTAAAAAAAGCCATAAAAATAAAAAAGCTCAGTTTTTCAGTAAAAATAAAAAATAAAAACATCGATTTGCAGGATTGGAGGCTCCTCTGGAGAAAAACTCTATGTGGCATTCCATCATTTCATTACTTTACAAAAAGGGGGTTGGTCTGCCAGCAAATACAAACATCCGACCACCATGGGCCGCTGGAAGTTTGTAAGAATGTATGCCAAGAGTTTTTAACTTTAAGATGGGTAATGGGACCAACATGAGTTTTTAGAATCACTCTTGGGCTATAGAAATTCAGCTGCATCTTGTCAACCTGAGATTATTCTAGTCTATTAGTCTTAAAGAAGCCACTATTAGTGATTGGTCGGTTCAAGATAGCGAAGTGCTCAAAAAAGCCTCACCCAGTGACTCAAGATAGCCTTCTCACTCTTTTTTTTTGTCTCTTTACCCTTAAGATCAAAATACCATCCTTATTAAGAAAAGAAAGGGAATTCATCATATGTTGTGCAAGAATCTCAATCATCAAAGAAATTTGAATTCATTTCTGAAAAGAGAAAAGAAAAAAAGAACAGACTTGCAGTATAGTCATTACCTTCTGATTTTGATAATAATTCCAAAATTGTTCGATCATCTTTTCTTCCTCGTGATCCTCGAATAAAGATTCTAAACCAGCAAAGACGACATCCTTACAGTGTTGAAGGTAGGTTGGCAAGTCCCGAGAGTATTCTGCCAACAAAATTTTGAAGTTACCAAAACGACATTAGTAATAAATATAAGCAACCAGGAAGAGGAAGGATAATCTTATCTAGTAAAAGCACATGCATAAGTTTCGGTGGCTATAACTTTTAAAATACAATAAAACTAAAATCATACCATAAGTTTCAGCGATCTCATAATATCGAGCTTCAATCTTGGAGAGGAACTCTGTAGTAGTCAGTTCAGGCTTGTGCAGATTCAAGTTCTCAACAGAGGCAGACAGATTATCCACATTATGTGAAGTAAATCCAGATCCATTTTCCCTATCAGCCTGCGTGTTACTGAAATTATGAGCAGGACTTGAATGTGTCTTCTGGTTAGGTGGGAAAGATGAAGCACAATTAATGGACAGACTCTTTTCCCATTCTCCAAAACCATGGAGATCATAGAGAATTCTCATTGCTATAATTAGAATTGACATAACACAAACACGAGAGGGAAGCCTCAGCTCATTGGTTGACAACCACAAATCGGGAGGCATCGACCACTCGTAAATGCGGCAAGCATGATGCAAAATCTTTTCAACTGGAAGGGACAGCTTGTCAAGATAACGACAAGCTATCAAATGGAAGTTAACTGGAGGTAGATTCAGCCCTATGGTATGAGCTATTGATGCTGCCAAAGATTCTAACTTCTGGAGTGGGGGAATTCGAGAAGGCCTATACATATGCTTTGAACTTATAGGGCAGGCCCTTGATGTTTGTCCAATGCGATTTTCAATGTCGATAAAAGCAGCAAAATATGGAAGTTTCCCCTCAAGTGACCACTTCATTATGTCTGTCGGCAAAATTGCTTCTCGGGCGACATGGCAAGCCAAAAATGAAATGGCTAATGTACAAGATAATGGTATCTTCTTTCTTAAAGATTTAACCCATACAACTACAACCCGCTGACCAAACAAATTGTGGGGTTCTGCTTTATGTCTACTGGAAACTGGTCTAATGTTTCCAGGATCTGTTGAAACGAAGGAAAACTCAGTTTGAAACTGAAGTGAAAGATAAGAAGATGACTACAACTAAAAATACTAAGAGGTCTAGCGAAAACAATAAAACATGTTAAAAATCAAATTGAAGAAAACCCAAGTAACACTACATACAGGAATTGATAAGGTATTTATCCAACTTTACTTACAAATCTATATGATGTCATTCAGACAAAATTATGCCTAAAACAAAGAAACAAGGAGAAAAGGTATTTCATATGGATTTTATACTTAGAGCTATGATATTTGACTATCTAAACAATATCACAGGCGGATACTTCAGAATTACTTCAACGGAGACTGTCTAACAAGCTTTTAGTAGGCCCCGATTTTCACTCCAAAGCTCATTCCATATGGGTCAATGTTGTTAAAGCTACTATTTTTGAATTATGATTGGAGTGCAATTTGAGGATCTTCGAAGATAAGTTCCTAGCTTGGAGGGAGTGGTTTGATTTGACCATGATTAAGTCTTCTCATTGTTGTTCGTTGTCTTGTTTGTTTGATAATTATGTCTTAATTTGAATGCATTCATACTCGCCTGTTAGTTTTATTTCTTTCGCTTTCCTTCTTTCCCAATGGAACATTGTATGCTTAAACAAAACTTTTTGTTGGCCTCTTTTCATGGGCATGAGAAACAATGGAATAATAATGATGAGTTAAGTTCTTAAGGCAACCATCAGAATCAACCCAATCATGTTGTTTTTTTCCTTTGATAACTAAGAGTCGAAGCTCCGCCTCCCCATACTCAAAGAGCACCCGAGCCCGCCCAAGACCCGAACCTGGGAGACATATAAACGGTTTTTGGTATTAAGCTCACCAGAAGATTTGAACTTGAAACCTCTAAGCCAGTATGACCAAGAGACCCCAAGTCCTTGTCAATCGGGCTGCCATTCGGGGACCAGAATCCACCAAATCATGTTAAAAGAAGCAAATAAAAGCCATCCATTAAAACTCTCTCATCCAAAGTAATAACCAAATTCCAGGAAACGTTTACAATCTAAAGCCAAATGAATTGAAATATTAACTTCTAGAGGAAGTAAAGAGTGATAAAACCTTGGCATTGGCTCTCAGAATCCTGAACAGCCTCAAAGGCCCAATCCTCATCAAAGACCCGTGTAGCAGTCACAAATCTCAACCAAATGCTGGCCGCCAACCCACAAATCACAGGGCTCGCCTTGAACTCCTTCACCAAAGCTTCACACTGAAGCTCCACCATCAACTGCAACCCCATCACATACCTCATCCTCACTTCCTCAGCATACTCCTCAAAACTCGGAGCTCCGGATAACACACCACCGGACCCGAAATCCTCGGGACCGGTAGGCCCCACGCCATCATCCAACAGCGCCACGGCGTCCCCCTCCTCCTTCAAATTAAGGCTGTCCCAGAACTGAGAGTGCGCCGCGCCAAAAAGGGCCTGCGGCTGAGACTGAGACAGGGGCTCCACCTTGAGAACGGCGGGAATGCGGCGGCGCGTGTGGGATTGGGAGTATATGGGGCCGCCGCGTTCGCCGGCGTCTCGTAGTAACAAATCCTCGTCGGCGACGCCGGTGTCGATGATGTCGTCGGCCTGGGAACCACACTGGAGGCAGTAGAAGAAGCCATCGAAGCCGTCTGTAAGCCCTACACTGCCACAGTTGTAGCAGGACAAGTTGCGGGGGTCCGCCATTTTTTAGATCTTGAAGGTATAAAAATGGAAAAAAGAGAGAGAGATCAAAGAAACCTTAGAAATCGAAAATTGTGCATGGGGTTCTGTAATTTCTGAAATTTCATCACAATCAAAGATGAAAAAAGAGGGAGCTTTTATGCACTTCCCTTGTTAGAAAAGGAATTTGTTTGGCAAGTGAGTGAGATTTATGCAACAAAGTGAACTTCACAAAATTTTTATTTTTATTTTAAATATAACATGTCGGGTACTAAAAAACAAAATAATAATAATCGTACCAATTTCATAACATATGTTTAGATTCGATAATTATTTTATTTTTAGTTTTTCGTTTTGTTATCTAATTTTAAAAAATATTAGTTAATTTTTGAAAACTAAAAAAATAACTATTTTTAAAATGTATCTTGAAATTGAGTTCATTCAAGTATTTATAATACATGTGAAAAGTATTTTTAAAAAATATAATAAATTAAGTATAATTTTTAAAAATAAAGAACTAAAAACAAAATAGTTATTAAACCGGACTTGAAATGTTTTTAGTTTTATGTTTAAAAAATTAAAAAAACAAAAAACCAAAATAAAATAAGTAGTATAATTCTAAAAGATACAAATAACAAATACCTTACCTARTTAACCTTCATTTTAATATAATTAAAGGGAAAAAGAATCAAAATTTTGCCTTCAACTTAATCTAATATGTCAATTTTTATCATAAATTTTTAATTTCATCCGATTAAATTATGGACAACTTTTACCTTTCTTTTAATTTCTATTAGAATCCACCTACTAATTTTAACCAAAAAATAAAAAATAAAAATCTCTCAAAACGCATTACTAACCAAAAAGAAAATAAAGAAAGCACAAAACTTGATTAATGCATGAGATTGATCCTGAAACAAATCTCTCAAAACACACATTTGGACAAAATCTCCCTATCATTTTGACAATACATATATTTTATAATTCATTAAATGTATAATAAAATGATATTATTTTATTATTTTTCAAACGTAAATTTATTAGAAGATAAAAATTGTACTATTTATCGAAATTCCTAATTAAAATTTAAAGAGTCAAAATTAATACACATTGTCAAATTTACGTTAAAAATTAATTTTCTAAAAAATTAAAGAGATAAAATGATGTGTCCATAGCTGGAATAACTTTCTCTTCTCTTTCGTTGACATCCGTCAACTCTGAAATCGCAAAAATAAAATATTTCTCTTAAATGAAGTGATAAATATTTTARGTAAACTGGTGTAACTTAACAATAATATTAAAAATATAATATATTAGAATTTAGAAAGATAGTTTACTTGAATAAAATTACATTTTTGCAAATATTTCGAGGAGGAAGATTTTTATTAGTAAAATAATTTCCTTTACAAGGTCTTTTCCAAATAAACAACCGAGCATCTCATTGACCACAACTAAATTCAAAAGCTTAAGTTGATAGGTTACCCATTCCCCCAACGGGGATGAACGAGTATGCAGATAAATTCAAATTGAGGATTTTTGGAAGAAAACGCAAGGCATTGGCGGTTTTTCCACCAAATTAAGGGATTTCTCCCTTTATCCTGATTCACACCCATTTAGAAAGATATCAAAARGGTGAAAAGGAATTCGAAAAAGACAACGAAAAAGGTTGTCCCATCTCTCATCAACAAGCCTATTGTGCCGATGTCTGCCCTTTAGAGAAAGACGAAGGGGCTGTCATCCGATTGTTCCAGAAGAGTCTTACGGGCCCTGCACTGAAATGGTTTACGTCACTAGATCATTCTAAGTTAGCCTCGTTTGAGCAATTATCTACGATGAATTTAATCATTTATCCACTTTAACGTGTATTCTTGATTATTTAGTGACTTTAATAGAGTGAATTGATTCTCTCAAACTTTTGATCTTAGCATGGTATCCAAGACTTTGTCTTGTATTCGAACCTTTGCAATCATTTTCTCCCCATTCATATTGATGGATTTATTGGACATTATGCAAATTTTCAAGCTCATGAGTGAGAGAGAAACAAAATGTTCAAGTATTGATAAATGATTGAGAGAGAAACAAAATGTTCAAGTATTGATAAATGATTAACCTCACCGTAATCCCATCACCTTAATTCAGTGATGATTTAACCATTACAAAAAAACGATATTGATATTGCTTCCATATTCATGCCCTTTCTTCCAAATCGATAAACAGATCATAATGAAGAAATGCCCAATTGATATAATCCCAGCTGATTCTGATCATAATTTGAATTGAGTTACAAATGAGTGTTTTTTCATTTTGTGCAGTAAAAGGATCCCACAAAAGAATTCCCAGCTGTAACACTCTCAAGAACAGAATTCCAACATGAAGAACAATTGAATCAAGAGGAAAGATGATTTTATTTTCCATGGTGAAATTACAAAGAGAGAAACGAACCTCCATGATTATGCTTGTAGTATTTATGTCGATCCCGATTTTAGGCGATGTTATCGGCTGAAATATCGAGTCCTAGAAGACAGAGATCCTGTAGTAGTAAATCTGCACTTCTGAAATGTAGTCCAACAATGCCAACTTCCTTTGCTGCTTCTACATTCTTCTTTCTGAAGTAAACTCGTAAATGAAAAGAGTTAGCGCTCCGTTTCATAATCGTTTTCGTTTTGGTTTTCTGTTTTTAATATTCATGCTTATTTACTAACATTTTTTCTTTGTTCTAGCCCAATTATGAGGCTTGAAGAAAAAAAAAATTTCAAAATAGTTTTTGATTTTGAAACATTCCCAAAATAATTTTGTAAAAACAAAAAACAAAACAAAGGAAATATAGCTATAAGTAACTTTCATAACATTTTTCTTTGTTTTTTCTGCTTGCAGAAATATATACAGACATGCACACAAGAATAAGACCAACTTCTCACATTCCTTTTCAACTCTATCCAAAAAGAAGCTAGAGAATTCTAGTCTTGTCTCAAATTTTTAGCCATTTGAGCCATCACCCAGAAAGCAAGGCCAACCTCCCTACTTGGAATAAGCGAGCCAATAGAGTTTCTCCACGAAAATCTCTATTGAATAGGCTGACCCGACCTCCAGCCCTCACTTAGAGAAATTATTTAAGGAGGTTGGTACAATGTGGTTGACAGTTTTATATTGCAGGATAGATAAACTAAAAATTATAGTTTCATGAGTTTAGATGGAGCACCCACAATTTAGTGCCCACATTGAATAATTTTTTCCTCACTTGAGTTAGAAGCATGCATTACTAGGCTTGACAATTTTTTCTCCATCTTAATGAAACATTCCTCAAGCAACAAAGTTTGATTAGTCATAAAGGGTTTGTACGAGGAATGACAAGCATTACTCATTTTAGAGTGTCCAATAATACCAATCTAAGGATGGTTCAACTGGTTTAGACACTTATCACCGACTAAAAGATGGTAAGTTCGAATCCCCATCCCCACATGTTCTACCCAAAAAAGAAAAAAGTGTTCTATGGTCGACAAATTTTTTAGAAACTGACGCAAGATCCTGCTGGAAAGAAACACGAAAATCTTTCTATGTTGAAATATAAGTTGAAAACATCATGGCCAAATTCCTAGATCACCGAGTATGTGGAGTCTTTTAAAACAAGTTCCACCGACTCAAAACTACGAGGTTGATGCGATCTACTATAAGAACCCTGATTTTTGCAACAGTTGCAATCTTCTGTGCAAAAAAGAAACCTTAGAAGCAACATAGAAATTTGGATTAGAAAATGTATGCTTAGGCATTTCCTTTGTCCGACGCAACAGAATGAAAAGAAATTTAAATCATTTTAAATTTCTATTATTGTAGAGAAGAAATGAGAAAAACTGAAATCTTGCCTGTCGATGATAAGATAGTGACTATATGCATATATGATAGATTTCTGACATTTGTAACTTTATATCAATATAATAACTAATAAGAAAACCAAAGTCAAATGTACAGAGGCTTCCAATCATAATTCTATTTCAATTACTATCAAATAAGACGAACCTGTCATCGATGAAAATACAACTAGCTGGTTCGACTTCAAGATGTCTCACGGCTTCCAAGTAGAATTCAGGATCCGGCTTCCTCTTCCCTGAAACATATGGCAAATAGGATCAACATCGTGATAAAGACAACGACACATCCAACTTGGCTACTTTTCCGATCTTTTTTATTATAAATACAATGGAAGAAAAGAGCAGAGCAAGAAGAGACAGAAAACATTTTTTCATAGTTTGCCTTTCCTCATCGAATTCAGTGTACTTCTAGAAGTCTACGACATCAAATTATTGTATTTGTTGTAACTTACAAAACACAACTACTTGCGTGTGGAGACAATTATTCATTCTAGATCTAAACAAGATTTACCTCATCACTTGTTCTTCCATTGTTCCTTTACCAGGAATTTATGGGAGGCTCTGTTTCAAGATTTTGTTTGTTCTTAGGTTCTTCATTGGAAGGAAGAAAAGAGTAATTTCCATCTGCTCTGCGGTCATGGTTTAAATAGGAGAGCAAAAGTATTATGGATCAACATTGTCAAATCAATTGTGTGGGGCATATGGGCGGAAAGGAATCAGTGGTTATCTGAAGGCAAACGGGCTCTTTTCGAAGAAAGATTTTGATCCTGTTAAGTGTGGCTTACATCTATCTACAAAGTTTTGACTCATCTTTTTATATTAATTTTTGTTGGGAAGCTTTTTCTAGAGTTTTGTTCACATCGTGGTGTTCATTGGATTTTAATTTTATGGTCTGGGAGTTTTGGTTTTACTCCTAAAAAGGAATTATTAGCATTGTAAAGCCTAGTGATCAATAAGGGGAAATGCAAATAGTATAGGTCTTAGAGGAAATGGGCTCAAACTATTTTCTTGACAACCAAATATAGTAGGACGAGGCAGTTGTCCCGTAAGATTAGTCGAGATGTGTGCAAGTTTACCCAGGCACTCATTAATATAAAAAGAAGAAATTAAAAAAAATTGATTATATATATATAAAAAGGGTCTTCTTTTCCTTGAAAAGTTACAATGCTATAACTCCTTTTACTCCTAAAAATAGACTTCAAATAGGAAATCCACACATGTAAAATACCCATGCACGATCAAAATTGAGATACTAATTCTGATGTGAAACATAGTAGAATGGTAATGAAGAATCTGGTAGGATTCCCTATCAAGATCAACCTTATAAACCACAAAAAAAATCAAATGGTGGATGGCCAATTCGAAAGGGTCATCTAACTCTCCACATTTATCAGAGTTCCAGTTGACATTAAACCAAACAGTAGGAACAACTGGGACTTCATTTTGGTGGTTAGTGGAGAGTTAAGTAACTGTTAAAAAGTTTCAATGAGTGAAGGGAAAAACATTCAAAAGTCTCACACACGTCATGCTACAATCAAATCTGATTAGGAAAATAATGAACAGTAAGGAAAATATCGTGACTAGTTCTACAGATTCTTTTGATTCAAATCAAAGTAGAAGGTGAGACATATAAAATTGAAAATTGCATGTTAACTAAAATTCAATAAATTACAGAGATGCAGAAAAATTATGCCCCTGGCAAGAAAAGGAAGGGAGTCAAAGGAGAAAAACTTAAGAAGAGAAAAGCCTTCCAGCAATACCGTTTTTACAAGAGCAGAATGTCCATGATAGATATCTCGAGATTTTTAACTTCTCCTCGATCATTTCATACCTGCAAAATGAAATTACAAAAATTGATGAAACATTTAATTGCAAGAAATGGCATGCTATGATTCTTTTCTCACGAACCAAATGGGATAGTTTGTGAAGGCATGCATTTCATAGTTTCTCTCTTTTAGTGCATTTAGCAATTCTTCAATGCCTTCTAGGTAGGAGTAACCACTTTTCATACAGTTTTTGAGGCCTGGAAAGAGAGAAAAGAAAGTTAATATGAAGCAAAAAAGGAGGAGCACATGGTTCCACAGGCCAAAATTTACATTATACTAATAAAAATTTACATTATACTAATAAAGAAGAATATAAATTTAAATTTAATTACATATGGTATATGATCATTCTTTTTTACAAA